GGAAAGAAAGGAGGAATATTAGGGACGTACAAAATACTCACACGTATTGATAAAATTGACTAGGATTATTAAGTATAACATCGACGTAAGAACACGTGGAAGGTGGTGACGCAGATGAGCCCAAGTGTTGCGAGGGAACACATCTCAGTGTAAGGACACTACACAAGAGGACACAGCACAAGCTCTCTGATCCACAGTTATCTCAGCATATATGAACACTCTCGTAAATACCCATCTTAGGCCTAATAATTTAGCTAACCTTAAACGTTGAATAATCTGACTTAAACTAGGTTTACCAAAATACGAAATCATATTCAGTTTGATTCTTGGGATATCAAACCTACATTATTTGTATGTTGACAATATTTTTTCCATTAAATTTAAAAGTGAAATTTGTATTTGTCAGAAGGGGAAGGTCTACGTATCTCTGTAAACCATCTATAAGAGACACAAACAACAACAGACAGTCCTCGCTACAAACAACAACAGACAGTCCTCGCTACAAACAACAACAGACAGTCCTCGCAACAAACAACAACAGACAGTCCTCGCTACAAACAACAACAGACAGTCCTCGCTACAAACAACAACAGACAGTCCTCGCTACAAACAACAACAGACAGTCCTCGCTACAACAACAACAGACAGTCCTCGCTACAAACAACAACAGACACAAGGACACATGAAATAGCTGAGAAATCGCAGGGAAATTTGCTCAGCCTCGTCAACAAGGAAGCCAATCAATACGTTACCACATCTCTGTTGACAGGCGTGAGCAAGGCAGCTCCAGCTCTGTAATTAGGAGAAGATGACAAGGCCCAGCAGGTCTTGTCAGCCTGGCAAAGGCGTCCTGATTGCCAGCGATGAGAGGCCAGGAGCCAGATGGGCTCAACACACGCACCAACACTCTGTTGACGTCTTCATTTGAAGGTTTAAGATTAATTGTAATTGTATATACAAAATATGTCTAATGAACCAATATTCTTGGAACCAATTAAATAAGTATGAACTATACGAGTGTGCAGGAGAGTGAGACGGTGAGCACCGTCTTCAGGTGTTACTGTGACTGGCCAGATGTTGCTTAGTTGCAAGGTGTTGCTAAGTGGCAACAAGTACTCGCGTTTAATTTCATCTCCTGGAGAATCCGACATGATTGACCAGTACCTGGTCATTACCTGAATGATTGTTACGGAACGTGTAATTACTGCCATACACTCGCTTTTATGTGCATACTGGGGCGAACTTCAGCTCCTGGACCCTGCCTTGCAATCAACGGTCTCCTATCTCAGAGGCTACTGACCTTGCTTTTGTCCCGTCTATCATACTTCTCAAACTACGTAGTTATCCTTAATTACCTTCTCACGCAATTCATTCCACAACTGCCAACACTAAGTGAGAGTAATTACTCGTCCGAGGCTATTTCAGACTTCCTACTGTCAGATGATTGATTGATTAATGCAGATCTAGCCACAACAGGAGGTGGCACGGGCATGAGTAGCCCCGTATAGGTGGTATACATGTTTGGAGTGAGTGTGGTCTATGGTGGTGATGTGTCTCTGGGCCCCTTGGCTCCTACTGTGTTGCCTCGACCCCTGGTCCTGATCCCTGGCACCACCTTGTGCTGATCCCTGGCACTGCCACAGATGAGTGACGCTGCCCAATACTGTCACTATGGCGGTGTGTCCACTCACAGGATGAGTGGCGCTGCCCAATACTGTCACTATGGCGGTGTGTCCACTCACAGGATGAGTGGCGCTGCCCAATACTGTCACTATGGCGGTGTTTCCACTCACAGGATGAGTGGCGCTGCCCAATACTGTCACTATGGCGGTGTTTCCACTCACAGCCTGTGTGAGATTAAATGCTACATGTGAGACTACAGCCTGCTTGTGAGACTAGAGCCTGCTTTTGAGAGTGGAGGCTGCTTGTGAGACTAGAGCCTGCTTGTGAGACTAGAGCCTGCTTGTGAGACTAGAGACTAGATCCTGCTTGTGAGACTAGATCCTGCTTGTGAGACTAGATCCTGCTTGTGAGACTAGATCCTGCTTGTGAGACTAGAGCCTGCTTTTGAGAGTGGAGGCTGCTTGTGAGACTAGAGACTAGATCCTGCTTGTGAGACTAGAGCCTGCTTGTGAGACTAGAGCCTGCTTGTGAGACTAGAGCCTGCTTGTGAGACTAGAGCCTGCTTGTGAGACTAGAGACTAGATCCTGCTTGTGAGACTAGAGCCTGCTTGTGAGACTAGAGCCTGCTTGTGAGACTAGAGATCAGAGCCTGCTTGTGAGACTATAGATTAAATTTTATAATTGTTATAATCAATTGTTATAAAACGTCAAACAAATATTTGTTTGTATTATGTATCTCAGTACTAAGCTGAGTGCTTCTTGAACTAATCATTAAGACAAGCAGCTGCATCTTTACTACTTGCATTTTAACCCAATAGAAACATTCAGGCAACATTGAACGTGCCTATATAAGGAGGGAGCCCAAGAGCCAAGATCTGGACAGGATGTTACAAGGCCTCACACGCCTAGCAAGACACACACGCCACACCCAGCTATCAACCTCCCGGCCATCTCTCCTGCAATGTCTTAGGTCCTCAAGATGATCTCAAAATCTTACTCTCGCGTCTTCCTTAGAGTCATTTGATGCTTGAGAAAGTTCTCGGAGAATTTGACACCCTCTGACATCGCTGGTCTTGCTTCCGGCACTGACCTTGTCGAAGATATCCTCCAGCTGTGCAATGTTCTTCAACATGTGCAGTGTTCTTCAACACGGGCAGTGTTCTGCAACAAGTGCAGTGTTCTTCAACATGTGCAGTGTTCTGCAACAAGTGCAGTGTTCTGCAACATGTGCAGTGTTCTGCAACAAGTGCAGTGTTCTTCAACACGGGCAGTGTTCTTCAACATGTGCAGTGTTCTGCAACAAGTGCAGTGTTCTTCAACACGGGCTGTGTTCTTCAACATGTGCAGTGTTCTGCAACAAGTGCAGTGTTCTTCAACATGTGCAGTGTTCTTCAACATGTGCAGTGTTCTGCAACATGTGCAGTGTTCTGCGACATGTGCAGTGATCATCTTCCGGGCTTGATGCAATCCTTTATATATATAATTACTGACACGAGGCTCCAAAATATAAGAAATGACTAATCTTTACACAGAAACAACTGGAGATTTGAATGGAATGTTTTTTTCATATTAGGAGCAGACACACGGAAGAGAACCAGCAGCTGGGAGGAGGAAGAGAACCGGCAGCTGCGAGGGGGAAGAGAACCAGCAGCTGGGAGGGGGAGAGAACCAGCAGCTGGAAGGGGGAAGAGAACAGGCAGCTGGGAGGGGGAAGAGAACCAGCAACTGGGAGGAGGAAGAGAACCAGCAGCTGGGAGGAGGAAGAGAACCAGCAGCTGCGAGGGGGAAGAGAACCAGCAGCTAGGAGGGGGAAGAGAACCAGCAGCTGGGAGGGGGAAGAGAACCAGCAGCTGGGAAGGGGAAGAGAACCAGCAGCTGGGAGGGAGGAAGAGAACCAGCAGCTGGGAGGGGGGAAGAGAACCAGCAGCTGGGAAAACCTGCATACTCATCATAGGGTATAGGGTGTGTTGCCATACTCATCACTAGGTGTAGGGTGTGTTGCCATACTCATCACTAGGTGTAGGGTGTGTTGCCATACTCATCACTAGGTGTAGGGTGTGTTGCCATACTCATCACTAGGTGTAGGGTGTGTTGCAATACTCATCACTAGGTGTAGGGTGTGTTGCCATACTCTTCACTAGGTGTAGAGTGTGTTGCCATACTCTTCACTAGGTGTAGGGTGTGTTGCCATACTCTTCACTAGGTGTAGGGTGTGTTGCCATACTCTTCACTAGGTGTAGGGTGTGTTGCCATACTCTTCACTAGGTGTAGGGTGTGTTGCCATACTCTTCACTAGGTGTAGGGTGTGTTGCCATACTCTTCACTAGGTGTAGGGTGTGTTGCCATACTCTTCACTAGGTGTAGGGTGTGTTGCCATACTCTTCACTAGGTGTAGGGTGTGTTGCCATACTCTTCACTAGGTGTAGGGTGTGTTGCCATACTCTTCACTAGGTGTAGGGTGTGTTGCCATACTCTTCACTAGGTGTAGGGTGTGTTGCCATACTCTTCACTAGGTGTAGGGTGTGTTGCCATACTCATCACTCACTAGGTGGAGGGTGTGTTGCCAGGGGAGGGTGTGTTGCCATACTCATCACTAGGTGTAGGGTGTGTTGCCATACTCATCACTAGGTGGAGGGTGTGTTGCCACACACATCACTAGGTGGAGGGTGTGTTGCCATACTCTTCACTAGGTGTAGGATGTGTTGCCATACTCATCACTAGGTGGAGGGTGTGTTGCCATACTCATCACTAGGTGGAGGGTGTGTTGCCACACACATCACTAGGTGTAGGGTGTGTTGCCACACACATCACTAGGTGAGAGAGAGATAGAGATCTGAGAGAAAGATTGTGTGTGTGTGTGTGTGTGTGTGAGAGAGAGAGAGAGAGAGAGAGAGAGAGAGAGAGAGAGAGAGAGAGAGAGAGAGAGAGAGAGAGAGAGAGAGAGAGAGAGAGAGAGAGAGAGAGAGAGCGTGAGAGAGAGAGTTAGTTATGGCTGGCAGACAGAGTGAAAGGTGCAAGGAATGTGGTGAGAGTGAAGAGGAGCGTGAGAGGAGAACTTGATAACATGCATATTATTCCATCGTTGAGTAGTGGCGCCCGCTAGGGACCAGGGACAAGGGGGGCTGGGCGGGGGGATGCTGCCTCCTCCCATCACTAATACCATAACTAACCTCCCAAACATCCCACAACAACAAACGTTCCTCTAGTCGTTAATATAAACACAAGAGACTCCTCTGTATATAACTCAGTTCACCTCAGAGCCACAAGAATCTAAGTAACTCCCACAAGTATTTAAGTGTCTGGGAGAATGTGGGGTTGCCATGTGCCGGGCTGGCAACCTTACCCTCCCGAGGGAAGGTATAAAGGCTCGGGAGCGTGAGACAGCACATCACAACCCCTCAAGGCACCTAGCCTAGCGCTGCTCCTCCTCCCAGGATATCCTCGCTCCTCTCCCAGTTACTGGAGACGGACAACTACCAGTGATAATCTCAACAATATTCACACGTGTACCACCATTACGGACTCGGTGCGTCGTTCAGTGCAGTGCTGTGGAGTGCATTGGATTATAGTTTAGTGAGTGTCGAGTGCTGGAGTGAAACATGAAGACAGATGAGAGGAACAGCAACAACAGCCCGTTGCGCCTGGCTGTGTTGGGTAGCAGTGAGGTGGGCAAGTCTGCCCTCACCGTCCGCTACCTCACAAAGCGCTTCATCGGGGAGTACAGATCTGACACAGGTGAGACCACCTCTAAACGCTCCCATATATCACAATCTTAAAAATTTCAATGTTTTTAATTGTTTTTTAACTATCAGTGAATTCCTGTATGTTTGGGGAGTTTACTTATACAAAACTTTAACATATGAGTATATTTTCAATACACTTTAGTTTGATACTTATGGTGTGTGTTGTGTGTTGTTGCAGATATGTTGTACAAGTGTGTGCTGCAGGTGGACGGGGCGCCGCAGCCCGTGGAGATCATGGACACCTGGGCCAGCTGCGAGGACTCCTCCGACGCTCACCTCCAGTGGGCCGAAGCCTTCGTCGTCGTCTACGCTATCACAGATAAACACTCCTACAGATGGGCCGCCAACACTCTCCAGGTAACTATCTCTACTGTCTTCAGGTGTGTACACACCTGTCACACAACACTCCCTCATACACACTGTCTTGCCTGGTGTGTGTACACCTGTCACGCAACATGTCTCCCCAGGTGTGTACACACCTGCCACGCATCATACAACTGTCCCTCATACATAGTGTCTTCCCAGGTGTGTGCACACCTGCCACACATCATACAACACTGCCTCATACACACTGTCTTCCCAGGTGTGTGCACACCTGCTACACATCATACAATACTCCCTCATACACACTTGTATATTGTATACAAATTGTTCAGTCATATATACGGTGTATATACAGATTACTTGCAAGTTCAAGTCACTAACTTTGCGTTTGTGTGTTGTTTCAGGAGTTGTCGGAGCGGCGGCCATCAGCGAGCGTGTTGATGATGGGCAACAAGAGCGACCTGGGACACCTCCGGGAGGTAGAGGAGGTGGAGGCCAGGAGCTTGGCCCTCACCCACTCCGCCCGCTTCTCAGAGGTCTCCACGGCCGAGAGCTGTGTGCCCGTCGCAGACGCCCTCGACAGTTTTCTCAAGGAAGTGAAGGCGCAACGCGGCAGCAACAGTGGAAACCTGCTAGGCAACGGGTCCCCCAAGCAACGGAAGCTTTCAGTCACCCGCATGCTGGGATCTCTGATCGGCCGCCACTCTCCTCCCCCGCAGCCCATCACTGAACTCATCGTTTTAGACAAAGGAGAACGCAACAAGTTGGTCAGATGTAGTCGACAAATCTAACCATGATTCGGACGGCATGCAGTTCACTTGAGTATGATCTGCACCAAGAACATGACCCAAAGATTACTAGTGAAGTCCTCACAAGTCCCCTGACGTGGAGTCTAAGGCTGAGGATTCTAAATAGTCAAATATTTATTACTGAGTGTTGCGTACTGTGCTTCCATTGTGATATTTCATTATTTACGAAGCCACGTAACCTCGCAAAGGTCGGTGTTGGCAGTGGAATTTTCAATGGCTGGAAATTGCTGAAGCTGTGTGAAATGCATCTGTTGTGTAGATTCTGCAAATGTTCAAGATATGAATGAAGTGCTTACTACCAAGTGCTGATGGTCTTGGATACGCAGGTGTTTGTGAGCGCTGGAAGGCACAAGTGCTGGAGGCATCTCTGTATAGCTGTTGGATGGCGAAAATGAAGTGAATATGAGAAGTGTCATACACCATGTGACGTCAGCAGTGACAAGAACGTGTATGTGATAATCGTGATTTCCAAAGCTTGGCTTGTGTTGGAGTTGAGACAACCTGCTAATGTTCTCCCAGTACTTGAACCTTCTTGATATGCATTTAATCTAAAGTCGCTATCATCTTCAGGAAGCGTCTGTGTAATGTGATAACAACCACAATAATATACATGGAACATCCATGTAATCTGTTATCACTATACTCCATAATACGCGAAATCCAAGTCTTCGTAACGTAAAACAACTGGGCTTCCAAGACTGTTGGAGACTCCTGCCTTGTCAAAAGCTACGTTGATGCCATGTTCTTCAAGACTGTTGGCGATATATTTATCATCAAGTCTGAAACACCTGATGATAAGAGACAGTCACTCCTTCAAGAGAGATACGCGACCTGGTCCTCCAAGATACACGAAGACTTGTTTCTTTTTGACCGAAGAATAGTTAATTTTGATGTTCAAGACTGACCAATGAACTTGGATCCTCGAGACTCGTGGTAAATCACGTGTCCTTGAGGCGAAGATATGTTGCACCTACAAGTACTGATGGATGAGCATGAGTAGTGAGTACTGCTTGTGGCGTAGTAGATGCTCGCGAACACCAAGATGATGCGCAGGAACCTGAATGTTCTCCGATCTTCTGTTGTCGTCTCCTGTTCAATATTGTTGTTCTCAATCTGTGATACTAGAGTTAGTGAGCTTATAACATATGTATTTTTATAATTTATTTGGTTCAGTACAAAATGAAAACTTATTTTTTGGTTTCCTTTGTTCCACACTATTATCTTTTTTTCACACCAAGTTTATTACCATGAAAAGAAATTTGAACACGATTATTTACAAATTTATTATACCTAATGCTCCAATTCCTTTCGGTTTTCTTGGCAAAAGAATGTTGATCTTGGCAGACATCCTCGAGTAAGGAAGTATCTAAAAATACTACAAAATATTGACTCAGAATTTTGACAAGAGAAATGGACAAAATCTCTGGAACTGACACAGCTACATATCAGTGGCAATACAATAGTACATTAATTGTATTAACAATTAAAACAAATCTCACTTGAATTAAATGATCATGATCGAAAAGATAAATTAATTAAGACGCATAATATACAAAAAGGTCGTCCAGACGTAGAACACTTAAAACATAAAGACACCATAAAGTAATATGGAATATGTCCTAAATATCACTATCACCAATATACGAAATATGACATACTACCAAACCATGGTGTGGTATACACATTATATGTATTGTATACCTATTAAGGCCATTACGTAGGAGACTGAAAGAATTAATAACTATGTTAATAACCGATTACGAACGCTTATATGTGAGACACCGACTCTAAACCTTGGCCAAGCAACACCAGGCCAAGGAACACCAGGCCAAGCCACACCAGGCCAAGCAACACCAGGCCAAGGAACACCAGGCCAAGCCACCAGGCCAAGCAACACCAGGCCAAGCAACACCAGGCCAAGCAACACCAGGCCAAGCAACACCAGGCCAAGCAACACCAGGCCAAGGAACACCAGGCCAAGGAACACCAGGCCAAGGAACACCAGGCCAAGCAACACCAGGCCAAGCAACACCAGGCCAAGCAACACCAGGCCAAGCAACACCAGGCCAAGCAACACCAGGCCAAGGAACACCAGGCCAAGCAACACCAGGCCAAGCAACACCAGGCCAAGCAACACCAGGCCAAGGAACACCAGGCCAGGCAACACCAGGCCAAGCAACACCAGGCCAAGCAACACCAGGCCAAGCAACACCAGGCCAAGGAACACCAGGCCAAGCAACACCAGGCCAAGCAACACCAGGCCAAGCAACACCAGGCCAAGGAACACCAGGCCAGGCAACACCAGGCCAAGCAACACCAGGCCAAGGAACACCAGGCCAAGCAACACCAGGCCAAGGAACACCAGGCCAAGCAACACCAGGCCAAGCAACACCAGGCCAAGCAACACCAGGCCAAGCAACACCAGGCCAAGGAACACGCAGGCTAGGCGGCCATCATGTTCCGCCCATCCTCAAAATATTCTACGTTCTGAGCTTCTGAGAACAGAGCTTTGCACATTTCCTGGGTTCGAAGCAAACTTTTAAGTGCTTCACCTGCGTGACGATATTACAACAACATTGCCAACAAACCTACAACACCTAAACCATGGTACACTAGGCCTAACTATAAATAAAACTATATTATATAATAATATTATTATATATTAAATATAGATTTTCATTTCTCACTACTGACAATATGAGGAATGTGCGTTCAGGGATGGACTGTGGAGGTGTCGATAATATTTGGGTACTAAGGTACCATGTGGTACTAAGGTACCATACCTTGCTAGGTAGCAGTGGTTAGGGGTACTCACCAGGTGACCCTGGGTGTTAGGTACTCACCAGGTGACCCTGGGTGTCAGGTACTCACCAGGTGACCATGGGTGTGAGGTACTCACCAGGTGACCCTGGGTGTGAGGTACTCACCAGGTGACCCTGGGTGTCAGGTACTCACCAGGTGACCCTGGGTGTGAGGTACTCACCAGGTGACCCTGGGTGTGAGGTACTCACCAGGTGACCCTGGGTGTTACGTACTCACCAGGTGACCCTGGGTGTGAGGTACTCACCAGGTGACCCTGGGTGTCAGGTACTCACCAGGTAACCCTGGGTGTGAGGCACTCACCAGGTAACCCTGGGTGTGAGGTACTCACCAGGTGACCCTGGGTGCTTGATGAGTGCCCAAGAAGCCTCTGGTGACCACCAAGAGGTTCAGGTACCTTAACGCGTTCACCACTTAGCGAAAAAGGTATTTGGAGTCCAAGCAGCCACTTAGTGTGAATGTGTTCACTCAGCGAGTGCTCTTAACACAAACTCTGATGCACTTTTGGATTGACTTGGAATAATTTTTAGGGTTAAAATAACTCCCTCAACACGAAAAGATTTTTTTCGGTTAATATAAGAAAAAACTTTGTGATAATAAAAAAAAGTTTTTTTTTAGTTAAAGATGAAAAGAATTAAGATGATATTTATGCAATTAAATGGTCAATATTCACATCTTTGTAGTGATAATACGAGACCAGAAGATGTGACGATAACGTTTGAGATAATAAAACATATAAACAAACAAAATAAATTATTAAAAATAATGATAAAGATGCAAAATAAAAGACACGAGGGTGTTGTATTAGAAGACATGAGGGTGTTGTATTAGAAGACATGAGGGTGTTGTATTAGAAGACATGAGGGTGTTGTATTAGAAGACATGAGGGTGTTGTATTAGAAGACATGAGGGTGTTGTATTAGAAGACATGAGGGTGTTGTATTAGAAGACATGAGAGTGTTGTATAGAAGACATGAGGGTGTTTGTATTAGAAGACATGAGAGTGTTGTATTAGAAGACATGAGGGTGTTGTATTAGAAGACATGAGGGTGTTGTATTAGAAGACATGAGGGTGTTGTATTAGAAGACATGAGGGTGTTGTATTAGAAGACATGAGGGTGTTGTATTAGAAGACATGAGGGTGTTGTATTAGAAGACATGAGGGTGTTGTATTAGAAGACATTATAAGACACATTAGACATTACAAAACATAAAAGACATTAAAAGACATTTGAAGACATTAGAAGATATATAAGACATTAGAAAACATTCGAAGACATAGAAGACATAAATTTTATGGACAAGGAGGATAATACAGCAGGCAGAACAAGGAGAATACAGCAGGCAGAACAAGGAGAATACAGCAGGCAGAACAAGGAGAATACAGCAGGCAGAACAAGGAGAATACAGCAGGCAGAACAAGGAGAATACAGCAGGCAGAACATTGAGGAGAATACAGCAGGCAGAACATTGAGGAGAATACAGCAGGCAGAACATTGAGGAGAATACAGCAGGCAGAACAAGGAGGATAATACAGCAGGCAGAACAAGGAGGATAATACAGCAGGCAGAACAAGGAGAATACAGCATGCAGAACAAGGAGGATAATACAGCAGGCAGAACAAGGAAGATAATACAACAGGCAGAACAAGGAGAATACAGCATGCAGAACAAGGAGAATACAGCATGCAGAACAAGGAGAATACAACAGGCAGAACAAGGAGGATAATACAGCAGGCAGAACAAGGAGGATAATACAGCAGGCAGAACAAGGAGAATACAGCATGCAGAACAAGGAGAATACAGCAGGCAGAACAAGGAAGATAATACAACAGGCAGAACAAGGAGAATACAGCATGCAGAACAAGGAGAATACAGCATGCAGTACAAGGAGAATACAGCATGCAGAACAAGGAGAATACAGCATGCAGAACAAGGAGAATACAGCATGCAGAACAAGGAGAATACAGCATGCAGAACAAGGAGAATACAGCATGCAGAACAAGGAGAATACAGCATGCAGAACAAGGAGAATACAGCATGCAGAACAAGGAGAATACAGCATGCAGAACAAGGAGAATACAGCAGGCAGAACAAGGAGAATACAGCATGCAGAATACAATACATCAGGCAGAACAAGGAGAATACAGCAGGCAGAACATTGAGGAGAATACAGCAGGCAGAACATTGAGGAGAATACAGCAGGCAGAACATTGAGGAGAATACAGCAGGCAGAACATTGAGGAGAATACAGCAGGCAGAACAAGGAGGATACAGCAGGCAGAACAAGGAGAGATGGAGACAATACAGAATAATACTTAACAGTGTTTAAGTCGAGACTCTAAATCGGTCTCTCATTTACGTCACCTGAACTTCCGCTCCCACTGTGTCGGGGCGCCGCACGCAACCCTCCCCTCACCCCCCCCCCACGCTGGGGCGCCGCACGCAACCCTCCCCTCACCCCCCCCCCCCGCTGGGGCGCCGCACGCAACCCTCCCCTCACCCCCCCCCCACGCTGGGGTGTCGCACGCAACCCTCCCCTCACCCACCCACCCCCCACGCCGGGGCGTCGCACGCAACCCTCCCCTCATCCCCCCCACGCCGGGGCGCCGCACGCAACCCTCCCTTCACCCTCCACCGGGGCACCGCTCGCAACCCTCCCCTCACCCTCACCCCAGTAGGGGCGCCGCACGCAACCCTCCCTCCCCTCACCCCCCTCCGGGGCGCCGCACGCAGCCCTCTCCTCACCCCCCGCCGGGGTACCGCACGCAACCCTCCCTCCCCTCACCCCCCTCCGGGGCGCCGCACGCAGCCCTCTCCTCACCCCCCGCCGGGGTACCGCACGCAACCCTCCCTCCCCTCACCCCCCTCCGGGGTACCGCACGCAACCCTCCCGTCACCCACAAGGTCGACCTACTGACCCACAAGGTCGACGTATTGACTTCCCCAACAGCCAACTTCTCTTCATCTAGTGCTTCTGTTCACTTATTTACTGCTAGGTGAACAGAAGCATTACATGAAGAGGGAAACGTGCCCAACCAATTCTCTCTCGGCGGGGAATCGAACCCGGGGTCCCCTGACTGTGAGTCGAAAACAAAGTCCTTCCGCTTCCAGAGTCAGACTATCAAGGGCGCCGCACGTTGTCCCGCCCCCCCTCCTCCTCCCCCCCCCCCTCCAGAGGGGCGTCACGTGGCGCTGACGCAGTTCCTGGCCGCGTAACGAGGTGCGCTGCACGTAGCGTGCGTTGCTCCCCCCACCCCCATCCCCCTCACTTCCCCCTCACAAGGAACCCCGTGTACCCCTCCCCCCCCCCTCCCACCCCCAACCCCCCACCACGGCACAAGACAGAAGAAACGTGTTGGTATAACCACATTTTGTTTGTTAATTAGACAGTCGTTCTTCAGCTCCTGGGCCCGTGAGTGTGGTCGTTACCGCCTCTCTCGCCGTCGCTGTCTCCGCCACCACATTGTTTTGTGTGTGGTGGGGGGGGGGTCCTTTAAGAGGACAGAGAGGCACAGGTGAAGGGAAAGTTTAGAAACGGGAAATATGGCATGAGTTATGGTGGCAGGCGGACTGTCCGCCTTGCTGACACGATGTTATGACAGCAGGCGGGCTGTCCGCCTTGCTGACACGATGTTATGACAGCAGGCGGGCTGTCCGCCTTGCTGACACGATGTTATGACAGCAGGCGGGCTGTCCGCCTTGCTGACACGATGATATGACAGCAGGCGGACTGTCCGCCTTGCTGACACGATGATATGACAGCAGGCGGGCTGTCCGCCTTGCTGACACGATGTTATGACAGGAGGCGGGCTGTTTGCCTTGCTGACACGATGTTATGACAGCAGGCGGGCTGTCCGCCTTGCTGACACGATGTTATGACAGCAGGCGGGCTGTCCGCCTTGCTGACACGATGTTATGACAGCAGGCGGACTGTCCGCCTTGCTGACACGATGATATGACAGCAGGCGGACTGTCCGCCTTGCTGACACGATGATATGACAGCAGGCGGGCTGTCCGCCTTGCTGACACGATGTTATGACAGGAGGCGGGCTGTTTGCCTTGCTGACACGATGTTATGACAGCAGGCGGACTGTCCGCCTTGCTGACACGATGTTATGACAGCAGGCGGACTGTCCGCCTTGCTGACACGATGTGTGGGTGATGGCAGCTAGTTAAGCTAAGCTTCCCTCTCTTGTCACACCCAATCACTTGGGCTGGACGGTAGAGCGACGGTCTCTCTTCATACAGGTCGGCGTTCAATCCCGGACAGTCCAAGTTGTTGGACACCATTCCTTCCCCCCCCTCCCCCAGTTCCATCCCAAATCCTTATCCTGATCCCTTCCCTGTGGTGTATATTCGTAATGGCTTGGCACTTTCCCCTGATAGTTGCCAAGTGGGATATTGGGTGCCAGGCAGTGTGGGCCAGGCAGTGTGGGCCAGGCAGTGGGTGCCAGGCAGTGTGGGCCAGGCAGTGGGTGCCAGGCAGTGGGTGCCAGGCAGTGTGGGGCAGGCAGTGTGTGCCAGGCAGTGGGTGCCAGGCAGTGTGGGCCAGGCAGTGTGTGCCAGGCAGTGTGGGCCAGGCAGTGTGGGCCAGGCAGTGTGTGCCAGGCAGTGTGGGCCAGGCAGTGTGTGCCAGGGAGTGTGGGGCAGGCAGTGGGTGCCAGGCAGTGGGTGACAGTGTGTGCCAGGCAGTGGGTGACAGTGTGGGCCAGGCAGTGGGGGCCAGGCAGTGTGGGCCAGGCAGTGGGTGCCAGGCAGTGTGGGCCAGGCAGTGTGGGCCAGGCAGTGTGTGCCAGGCAGTGTGTGCCAGGCAGTGGGTGCCAGGCAGTGTGTGCCAGGCAGTGTGGGCCAGGCAGTGGGTGCCAGGCAGTGGGTGCCAGGCAGTGGGTGCCAGGCAGTGTGTGCCAGGCAGTGTGGGCCAGGCAGTGTGGGCCAGGCAGTGTGTGCCAGGCAGTGGGTGCCAGGCAGTGGGTGCCAGGCAGTGTGGGCCAGGCAGTGGGTGCCAGGCAGTGTGGGGCCAGGCAGTGGGTGCCAGGCAGTGTGTGCCAGGGAGTGTGTGCCAGGCAGTGTGTGCCAGGCAGTGGGTGACAGACAGTGGGCCACTGTCTGTCACCCACTCACCACTCACAACAGAACAAGGAAAGAGCCTATCCTCACAACTCACAACGGGACTAATTTATGTCATAAATGAATTATGGTTTTAGTCAAAACTTATAAAGTGTTATAACTTAACTAACATTTGAGTGCCGACCCATAGCGAGTGACTGTCCTAAGATGAGTGGAAGGTGACTACCTCACACCAGTGCACTCTGGCTCATCGTGAGTGACGAGCAACGCGCACTCTTCCAAGATGATTTAACAAAATTTGCAAACATGCCCTGAAGCATAAACAGATAAATCACGGGAAAGGTAAATAAACAGTTAGACTGGGCAGGCACGGGAGTGTCAGTAGTCTAACTCCTGCTTGATAAGCTGTTCACTTGAGACAGTTATAAGCAAGTCCCAGCTGTGTCTGGGTACAAGTGACAGGATGAACAACCCAGCGGGTTTTCTTCCTATTGGGGAGTGTTGTGCATGCTGCTATGGCGGTGTGTCCACTCACAGGATGAGTGGCGCTGCTCAATACTGCCACTATGGCGGTGTGTCCACTCACAGGATGAGTGACGCTGCCCCAATACTGTCACTATGGCGGTGTGTCCACTCACAGGATGAGTGACGCTGCCCAATACTGTCACTATGGCGGTGTGTCCACTCACAGGATGAGTAGCGCTGCTCAATACTGTCACAATGGCGGTGTGTCCACTCACAGGATGAGTGGCGCTGCTCAATACTGCCACTATGGCGGTGTGTCCACTCACAGGATGAGTGGCACTGCCCCAATACTGTCACTATGGCGGTGTGTCCACTCACAGGGTGAGTGACGCTGCCCCAATACTGTCACTATGGCGGTGTGTCCACTCACAGGATGAGTGACGCTGCCCAATACTGTCACTATGGCGGTGTGTCCACTCACAGGATGAGTGGCGCTGCCCAATACTGTCACTATGGCGGTGTGTCCACTCACAGGATGAGTGGCGCTGCCCAATACTGTCACTATGGCGGTGTGTCCACTCACAGGATGAGTGGCACTGCCCCAATACTGTCACTATGGCGGTGTGTCCACTCACAGGGTGAGTGACGCTGCCCCAATACTGTCACTATGGCGGTGTGTCCACTCACAGGATGAGTGGCGCTGCCCAATACTGTCACTATGGCGGTGTGTCCACTCACAGGATGAGTGGCGCTGCCCAATAAACTCGCCCCTCGGGGCAAAATTAAAAAAAAAAATACTAGTTGTCAACATGACCACACAGAGCGGCCAGCGCAGGATGGAGCCGCAGGCGGGAGCTATTTCCGTCCCCGTCAGGCCCTCTCTACCCCGCCCTCCCTGCTCTCTCTCTCTCTCTCTCTCTCTCTCTCTCTCTCTCTCTCTCTCTCTCTCTCTCTCTCTCTCTCTCTCTCTCTCTCTCTTCATTTCTTTACCCTAACCCCCCCCTTTCCTCTTCCCCCTTGCTCTTTTTTCTCTCTCTTTGTTCCTGTGGTGTGGCCAAGGTCAGTGGGTGTGCGGGTGGGCGTAGAGGTTAGTCTTACTCTCACCTGACACAACTTGATGTTTCTCTCAAGGTTGAGCATTAGCTCCCTGGCCCTCCTGCTCTAGGCTCAATTAATGTTAAGACTTTCATTCCTGAGGACTTGTCGAACTATCTTCCGGACTATCTCTGTAATGCAGCCAATGTGTCTATTTTTTCCTCTCACAGGCTTCACGTTGCTCTTAAACTTGGATATGGATAATACTTTTTGCTGTCAAGATTACAGCTGTCACAGACAGATGCCAAACTACTTGGGCTGGACGGTATAGCGACGGTCTCGCTTCATGCAGGTCGGCGTTCAATCCCTGACCGTCCAAGTGGTTGGGCACCATTTCTTCCCCATAGACGTGCGGTACTTCCTGCATAATAGAATGATGATAGATGGAGTAACTGGTGTGAATTTCACTTTGCCTCAAGTCTCCGAAATTTAGTTGATGTTCCCTGAATATTGCTGCTCTCAGGCTGCTCAAAGGCAGACCAAGTTGGTAATCAACTCCCTCTTTACGAGCAAAAGTCTTCCTTAACCACCAGTCCCATATGGTGACACAGATTTCGGAAATTATCCAACACCGTTTGAACCTTTGAAATATCTTGACCCTGAAACAAAATATCATCGGCATATATGATCGGAGTTCATGTGATCGGCAAGTTCATTATTTATTTCATAAGTTACTCCAACCTCCCCAGGGGCAATTGAATATCCTCTGTCATATGTGGTGCAATAAACCCATCTGGCTTTGTTGCTATTGAATATCCTGTCATATATGGTGCAATAAACCCATCTGGCTTTGTTGCTATTGAATATCCTGTCATATATGATGCAATAAACCCATCTGGCTTTGTTGCTATTGAATATCCTGTCATATATGATGCAATAAACCCATCTGGCTTTGTTGCTATTGAATATCCTCTGTCATAAAACGTTGTGCGTATTAGTGGCTTTAGGTATTGCATGTACTAGCTCTATCTATAAATCCAACATTATGTTTGTAACTCATCTTCTATGTATGTACTTGTACCTGAATAAACATTTGTATTTTTTATTATTTTTTATATATGGTGCAATAAACCCATCGGGCCTTGTTGCTTTCTATTGATAATAACTTTAGTCTCCACAAACATGTGTGCTTGGGTAACATTTAAGAGACATTCTTAATGGTTCAACTATGAACGAATGTGACAGAAATGCTACTGGATTTTTGTGGTCTCAATTCTTACCTGATCTGAAATGTTAATTAAAATGTTTTACTGGTTACTGGTACAGTAGTAGTTCTGCTTAGAGTTAGCTATACGCTACTAATTCCATTTGAATACTATAATTCTAAAACATTTTTTTATGCACTCAAAAGATCTTGAACTTATCAAGCGAGAAGTGAATGTAAATAATCTTCAAGGAATGAGTATGGGGTGCAAAATAAACTACTAATCACAGGTTATGACACTATGATATTCGTGCTCTACTTTGGGGTAAATAAAATACATGATTATTTTCAGAATATATACTTTAATGACAAATATTTGAAAAGATATTGTATGTTTCGGAATTTCTGATGGTATAGAACATATTAATTAAGGTTCATATTTAACCTACCCAATGCTACCCCAAAACCTTCCAGCATTACACAAGTAACGGAGAAATATGACATATTTACGCCCCTTATAAAGATGATATTGAATGTAACTTTAATATGAATGCATGTTAATTAGACTATTGATTGGCTAGTGCACAGCGCTCCACACAACCAGAGCGGGTCCATGTATTTACCAATATTGTTACCCAATGCTACCCCGGCCTTCTAGCATTACTCAAGTAACGGAGAAATATGACATATTTACACCCCTTATAAAGATGGTATTGAATGTAATTTTAATATGAATGCATGCTAATTAGACAATTGATTGGCTGATGTGTACAGCTCCACACACCCGAAGCGAAACCATCTAATTACTTAAAGCCAGCCATAGCTACCCAATCATACCCCAAAACCTCCTTGCATTACACAAGTATTGAAGAAATATGACATATTTACCGACTACAATGATGGCATTGAATGTAGTGTTCATGTGTCCGGATACCGGCGATTATGTAGTATTATTTATTTAACCATATAATGCCTTTCACATAAATTATATATATTACTTGAAATGTAGCTACAGTAATGTCTACATCTCTGCCTTTCTTCTGACATAAATCTTGAAGGTTAATTAGCATATATATGCATGTTAATTAGACAATTGATTTGCTGGTGTGTAGCTCTTCACACACCCAGAGCAGGTCCATGTATTTTCCCAAAGCTATCTATAATTACCCAGTGCTACTCCGGCCTTCTAGCATTACACAAGTAATGAAGATATATGACATTTACCCCCTATAATGATGTTATTGAATGTATTATTAATATGAATGCATGTTAATTACACAATTGATTGGCTAATGTGTACGGTTCTACACACACACCCAGAGCGAGTCCATGTATTTACCCAAAAGCCACCCCTAGCTACCTAATCATACCCCAAAATTTCCTTGCATTATATAAGTAATGAAGAAATACGACATATTTATCTATTATAATGATGGTATGTAATGTAAAATTTGGAAAAATATGGTTTTACTCTGAACTAATCTCTGGATACGTAAGTGCATAGTAGTTCAAGTAGCGAACGCATACCAGCGAATAATCATCAGCATCTATATAACAAAACTATTGTCCCATGGAGTTAATTTCACTTCCAGACACCTATTTTTCAATACAATTTCAATATTTTCTGGCTATTTATGCTATTATTGTAACTATGCATTATTGTAGTTTATACCATTATTTCAATTTGTGACAATTTGAGCAGAGAAGTGCGACGTGTGTACAAGAGGCTGATATGCCAGCAAACTCTCCAGGCAACAATCTGTCTTGGATAAGTCGCTCCACAACATTGACGCTTGGATCGTCGACTTTATTTGGCGTCACCAGCTCTTTATTTTCGTCTAATTTCTTTATAAAAAGATACTTTTTGAGATTAAAATTTTGTTTTTTCGTAGAGTACATTCAGCACCAACATTATAATGAGTAAATATATCATATTTATTCATTACTAACGTATTATCAGGAAGCTTTGTGAAGCTTGTGAAGCTTGTGTAGCTTGTGGTAGCTTGTGTAGCTTGTGGTAGCTTGTGTAGCTTGTGGTAGCTTGTGTAGCTTGTGGTAGCTTGTGATAGCTTGTGGTAGCTTTCGGTAATTAGACGGACCCCTCTCTGATGCTTATTCCTCCTCTCGTGTTGCATTCCTCCAATGCTTTTACCCCTCTCCTGTACTCTATCCCATGCCGCCACCCCCTCCATTGCTTCCACCCCCATCCGTACTTCCACCCCCTCCCGTGCACCCTCCCCCTCCCGTGCACCCTCCCCCTCCCGTGCACCCTCCCCCTCCCGTGCACCCTCCCCCTCCCGTGCACCCACCCCCTCCGGAACACCCACTACTATCACAGTCACAGTCACCAGGTGCTCCAGGGTATCCTGGCGCCCCTGGTGTACCAGGGGGCCCCTGGGGGCCGGGGGTCCCAGGGTACCCTACCGGCCCTGGATTACCTGCTGGGCCTTGTGGCCCTTGTGGCCCTTGGTTGCCAGTGTTACCTGCAGGACCTGGCGGGCCTGCTTGACCCTGAGGTCCTTCAGGGCCCCTTGGGCCCCGGTGACCATTTTCTCCAGGGGGCCCTTGAGTACCCGGGCTCCCCGGTGGTCCAGGGTTCCCTGGTATACCGGGCGGGCCTGGGGGACCAGGGGGACCTGGGGGACAACTGCAATCGTTACTTCTTCGTGGGGTTATGGCACACTCTGGGGCGCTGGGGGCATCGTTGGGGACACAGTGGGTGTAGAGGGCGGTGACGGTGTAGCGGAGGTCAGCCTGTGTGGTGGTGGAGGTCACCACCCATGTTTTGGTCTTGTGATGATTGACAGTCAAGAGAGCGCGGCCTGACTCCTGCTCGGCGCTACCTTGGCTCCTTACGTCATCTTGGGCTCCAGGATGGTCGGTAATCTGACCATCTTCCAGAGAGGATTCGAGATTAGGGGACATCTTCCCGTCGGCTGGCTCTTTCAAGCTGTAATTGCCAGGAATTAGTTGAATGTCCTTTTTTGTGGGTGAAATCATTAAGAACATTTGTTTTTCTCTGACATATTTTCCATTAGTATGCAGAATTCCTACTTCGGAACGTTAATTTTGTGGGAAATTTGCCCACTATATATCTATATTATTATGTAAGAAATGTATTATTTCTATATCATATCTAAATTATATCAAAATCAATATCAAAATCATATCAGAATCACTACAGATTCATTATATCCTGCATCTGGATCCTACATGACAATGCCATCTGTGATCATGTAGACCATAGGGCCCTAGGTGTCTACGTGACTTGGTGCATGATTTCTCAAAAATCTAGAAGCTTCTAGAAGGATATCTTAATTAAAAAAGTATTGGAACATTCAATCAACTTCCGGTAAGGATTAAATCAAAATCCTTAATAAGAATTAATAGTACTAGCCAGTACTCCTTATAATCTATAAATCTTATATCTAATTTTATTATAATCACATCTTATCTCAATCATATGTCTAGACAGTAAAAATAATAAATATGCATTGAAGGCTACCTTTCCTGAAGAAGGGAGGAGTCAACTTTGGAGTGAAGCGACCTATGGGGCACCCGGGGGCAGAAAGCGTCGTGTACAAACAGATTGAACAAGTGTGACGGTGACTTGCCGCCCCTAAATCAACACAACAATGGTGACTTGCGAACAATTTTCGGTATAGGACACCTTACTAAATTATCTTTATCACCAATAATTACTTTCTAGAACTGGGGGAGTATCTGGACAATAGCTACAAGGAAAATTTCCGAGTACTTTATCAAAATAAGGGTGTAGAGTAACTCGAAGTGACGCCGCCTCCACCACACCTATCTTTTTTTTTGAGAGAGAGAGAGATATATACAAGAGTTGTTACATTCTTGTACAACCACTAGTACGCGTAGCGTTTCGGGCAGGTCCCTGGAATACAATACCCACGAAGAATCGATTTTACAACACAGTACCCATTTTACAGTTGAGTTTAACAGAAGTTACAGTTAAGGATTTGCGCCCAGTAAATCCTCCCGGCCAGGATACGAACCCATGACAAAGTGCTCGAGGAACGCCTTGCGAGTGTCTTACCACTACACCATGGCGACTGGTCTACACCACGGAAACTGGTTGATCTTATCAAAAATATAAAAAAATATAAGTTTATCATATTGAATATAATCTCTTGTATTTAGTTAACAGTACTTGGACCACATTTAAGCTCATTTAACCCTCAAACTGCGAGGAGTCCAAATGGCTTCAACACCCACAGGCGCAAAAAAAAAAAAATCGAAACAAATCTTTCGTCTTATAAAAGTGTTCATTTGTGGTTCCCTGATCACAAAAAAAATAAAAAAAATCGTAGGTGACATATTTTAGCCGCAATAGGGTAGGGAAGTCTGGCAAAAAAAGGGGCGTTGACAGCCTTGGCCAGACGAGGTCTACTCTGCCCGAGCTGTCAGGCGGCAGTTGTCACAAATATATTATTTCCTAATTATTTCAATGTCTCTGATTTATTTTTTCTTTGTTTTTTTGCAGTAATATTATTCAATAGTGTGAATTGTGATATATTTATATAATAAAATATGTGAACCATCGCATTATATCAATCCGACAATTTTCCCACAAATTTGATCTAAACGGAATTGCTCAAATGGCCCTCTAATATTGCTGATTTTTTTTTAATTAGAGATAAACGGCTCTAAATTTTGGCATCAGACGAATAAAAGTGTGAGGAAGGCCAATGAAAATTAGTCACGAAAGCTGAACAAATCGGTGACTCGAAGATGAAAAAAATAATTAAAAGTTATCAGAGACAAAGTCAGAACTTACTCATTATTCCATAAATATAACTCAAAAATGAACTGGAATTGAATTGCTTTGGAAGCAAAAGTAGACACTAAGACTAGCCCCAAAGATCTCCTGTTACAGACCTGGGTGTCACAGTGAGAGAATCACCTCCCTCAATCTCTAGTGCGTCTGAGCGTTGATGGGGTTGATTGTAGGAGCCCAAGGGGCAGTGTGGGAGGTTTGGGGGGTGGGTGGCAGTGCAGGTGTGGGGGACGTACACCGTCGTCCAGTAGGTGGCCTTCACTACATCAGTCGAGGCTTGAAGCTTGTAGAAGAGGCCTCCCCGAGGCTCCCTTGCTTCCTCACCATCCTGAGAGAATGTGCAGTCAGAAGAATGTCTAAGATATATATATATATATATGTCGTACCTAGTAGCCAGAACGCACTTCTCAGCCTACTATGCAAGGCCCGATTTGCCTAATAAGCCAAGTTTTCATGAATTAATGTTTTTTCGACTACCTTACCTACCTAACCTAACCTAACCTACCTTTCTCGGCTACCTAACCCAACCTAACCTATAAAGATAGGTTAGGTTAGGTTAGGTAGGGTTGGTTAGGTTCGGTCATATATCTACGTTAATTTTAACTACAATAAAACAAAATTGACCTCATACATAATGAAATGGGTAGCTTTATCACTTCATAAGAAAAAATTTGAGAAAATATATTAATTCAGTAAAACTTGGCTTATTAGGCAAATCGGGCCTTGCATAGTAGGCTGAGAAGTGCGTTCTGGCTACTAGGTACGACATATATATATATATATATATATATATATCATATATATATATATATATATATATATATATATATATATATATATATATATATATATATATATATATATATAAACCTACATCAATGCCCATTTTCTATTGCAAATTGTAAAATTCTATCTGAGAACGAGAACAACGAAAAGAAAATGACGTTATTATCGTAAAGCTAACGCATAAGAACCGTCAGGGAGAGGTAAGGGAAGGTGGGAGGGCAGGGGGTGGGGGGGGGGGGGTGGGGGGGGGGTGTAATAGTAATGAGGGAGAAGTTCTCTGTGAGGTAGACAGTGGCGGTGAGGGAGGGGGGGGGGAGGAGAGGTAATCTTGCAGGAAACACCAGTTGATTGACGGATACTGCCTTTTCTGAGAGGGTTGTGTGATATGTGTGTGTGTGTATTCACCTAGTTGTGCATAGGGGGGGGGGGGGGTTGAGCTTCGGATCTTCAGCCCTGCCTCATAACTGTCACTTAACTAGGGTACAAGTTCCTGAACCTACTTGGTTCTATCATATCTACATTTGACTCTGTATATGGAGTCTGCCTCCACCACATCATTGCCTGATGTATTCATGTGTAAATTTATCGGATACTGAAAAAAATTTCCTTCTAAGATCTCTGTGGCTCATTCGGGTACTCAGTTTCCACATGTGTCCCCTTGTGTTAAATAAACTGTTTATCCACTCTATCAATTCTTCTAAGAATTTTGTATCTGTGATCATGTCTCGCAATAACTCTTCTTCCAGCAGCGTGAGGTTCAGTTCCCGTAGTCTCTCCGCGTAGCTCATGAACCTCAGCTCCGGTACCCCTCTGGTGGTATAATTTTGAACCTTCAGCAATTTAATTTTGTGCTTGACCAGATACAGACTCTAGGCTGGAGCTGCATACTCCAGGATTGGTCTGACATATGTGGTATATAATGTTCTAAATGATTCCTTACTTTTAAAGGCAATTCCTTGCTTTTAAAGGTAGTAATTTGTTACCTTAATTAGCATATGCCGCAAATGATATCCTCTTGATTTCCGCTTCAAGGAACAGGTCTGGCATAATATTAACTCCCAAGCATTTCTCCCTCCTCCCCCCCCCAGAATTATGTGTGTGTGTATTGTATATGTGTATGTGTGTGTGTGTGTATGTGTGTGTGTGTGTGTGTGTGTGTGTGTGTGTGTGTGTGTGTGTGTGTGTGTGTGTGTGTGTGTGTGTGTGTGTGTGCTTTGAATATCGCGCGCTTTGAATGATATAATTTGCCGTTGATAAAATAGTTCCACAATGCAATATGAAGTCAGATGGAACTAACCTGTGTGTGTTTCTCTGGGAGGAGATGAGCCCCACCCAGCGCCAGGCTGGCCAGGAGGGCCACGCCCACAACCACCACACTAGAAGTGGCTCCTTGCATCTGCCCCCACGCCCACAGCACGCCCACACAGCGTGTCTACACTCCACACAGCGTGTCTACACTCCACACAGCGTGTCTACACTCCACACAGAGTGTCTACACTCCACACAGAGTGTCTACACTCCACACAGAGTGTCTACACTCCACACAGAGTGTCTACACTCCACACAGAGTGTCTACACTCCACACAGAGTGTCTACACTCCACACAGCGTGTCTACACTCCACACAGAGTGTCTACACTCCACACAGCGTGTCTACACTCCACACAGCGTGTCTACACTCCACACAGCGTGTCTACACTCCACACAGAGTGTCTACACTCCACACAGCGTGTCTACACTCCACACAGCGTGTCTACACTCCACACAGAGTGTCTACACTCCACACAGAGTGTCTACACTCCACACAGAGTGTCTACACTCCACACAGAGTGTCTACACTCCACACAGAGTGTCTACACTCCACACAGCGTGTCTACACTCCACACAGCGTGTCTACACTCCACACAGCGTGTCTACACTCCACACAGCGTGTCTACACTCCACACAGAGTGACTACACTCCACACGGTAAACACTGTAAGGAATAAGAGAGCAGGTGAATACTTATGCCTCTGTAGTACTAGCTGTACCCGGTCACGCGTTGCTGTGGCTCAGTCTGGTTAAATGGAAAAGAAAGAAAAGAGAAAGTGCCCGTTTCTAATAAATTTAATTTCACAATGCTTGTGGGTATACAATATTTTTTGTTGTTTAATTGTCTGTGGAGATATAGAGATTGTCTATTTCTCCCTCCCCTGTCCCCTCGTCCTCCCCACCATCCCCCACTCTCCTATCCCCTCATCCTCCCCACTCCCCCATCCCCTCGTTCTCTCTGCCATCCCCCACTCTCCTATCCCCTCGTCCTCCCCACCTTTCCCAACACCCTTGTTCCATGCGTTCCCAAATGATCTGATGTTCCCATCAGAAAATTGGGAACATCAAATGATCAGGGGCCAGATTCACGAAGCAGTTACGCAAGTACTTACGAACCTGTACATCTTTTGTCAATCTTTGTCGGCTTTATTTACAATTATTAAACAGTTAATGAGCTCCGAAGTACCAGAAGGCTGTTTATAACAATAACAACAGTTGATTGGGGAGTTTTCATGTTTGTAAACTGTTTAATAAGTGTAATCAAAGCCGTCAAAGTCTGAGGAAAGATGTACAGGTTCGTAAGTACTTGCCTAACTGCTTCATGAATTTGGCCCATGATGTTCCATTCACTGAAAAATAAGAAGAACAGTTAAAAAAACGAAATGAAAAAATTGAAAAATAAACTTTACTCACGAAATGAACGTTATGGTAAACTACACAGCTTAATTCCAAAGCAACGTCACAAAAAATAATTAAATCAAAATGAAAATATATCAAAATCTATGAAAATTTAATTTATCAATGCAATCGGAAACACTGAAATGGAATCGAAACATATTTAGTAGTGTGTGTGTTGCATTTATGTGCAACAAATGGCGCTGTTTAAACAAAAAAAATGGTTTAACCTGTCACAGGTGTGGCATCTATGCTGGTGGTGGAATATATGGTGATATATATGCCATATATATATATATATATATATATATATATATATATATATATATATATATATATATATATATATATATATATATATACTCACGAAATGAACGGTATGGTAAACAACACAGCTCAATTCCAACACAATGTCACAGAAAATATTAAAATATGAATAAAAATTTAAATAAATTGAAATCTATGAAAATTCAATTTTAAAGGCGATGGTAAACATTGTAATGGATTAGTAACATGTGTAGTATAGCGTGTGTTGCTCTTACGTCCAATAGATGGCGCTGTTTTTCGAAGAAAAAGCATGTTTTTGCCTGTCACAGATGTGGCATCTATATAGCAGGTATATAAAAACGTGCGCATATTTGAATGCAACGTTGTGTCAAAATTTCAATGCAATCAGTAAAGAGGTTTCGAAGATTTCCCTCATATGAAAAACACAGTTTAAAAAAAAATTGTTTTTTTTAACGTCACAGACGTGATATCTATATAATATGTATAAAAAACCCTGCTCGGATGCGAATGGAACGTTATGTGAAAATTTCAAAGCAATCGGTGAAGAACTTTCGGAGATTAGCGATTTTAAGCAAACGATCAATTCCATACACACACACACACACACACACATATATATATATATATATATATATATATATATATATATATATATATATATATATATATATATATATATATATATATATATATATATATATATTCAAAACTGATAGCCTAAATAATCCTAGGCCTAATATAGCATATAGGTGCTATACGAGACCTAAGAATGTTAAAAATTTTAGCCATCTAAACAATGAACAGTATAAAACGTGACCCATGTTGGCTGCAACAGTTCATGTATGTACGTTGGACCAAATAATTGCAAGAAGTGCTATAATTTCAGGAGAATGGACGAGGTGTATTGTGAGGAAAGAGATATTCTCACCTGAGTGTGGGAGAGTGTGGGTGGCGAGGTGGTGTGTCACCCACTGGTCGTGTCAACCTTCCTCCAACTGTTTATATTGAGTACCCCGCTCCTCCCCCCCCCCGGGGGACACACGCACGCACGCACGCACGCACACACACACACACACACACACACACACACACACACACACACACACACACACACACACACACACACCGCAGCAACAGACCAGCAAAAGGCCACGTTTCCAGCCTGGGGAGGTGGACCCCAGATGAGGGTGGGCACGAAGACCCGTCGGCAGCCTCACCGTTGGTGGCAGTCACAGCCAGAGCGTTCACCTCCACACCTGCGTGTTTCCTGTTTGTATTACAGAGGTTGAAGACGAAGGTAATCTCCCGAGGGCTTGGGGCGAGGGTCACGGATGCATGCAGCCTGCAGGGCCTGCAATAAAAGCACCACTGCAACCTGCAGGGGCTGCAACACCAACCACCACTGCAACCTGCAGGGCCTGCAACACCAGCCACCACTACAGCCTGCAGGGCCTGCAACACCGACCACCAATTGATATGATCTCAGGCTACAGGAGAAACGAGTCTCCCCCCTGAGAGTTATTCTACCAGACTTGACCTAACTAAGAGGTCAAAGAGATAGACGTATATTATATATATATATATATATATATATATATATATATATATATATATATATATATATATATATATATATATATATATATATATATAGCCAGAACGCACTTGTCAGCCTACTATGCAAGGCTCGATTTGCCTAATAAGCCAAGTTTTCATGAATTAATTGTTTTTCGACTACCTAACCTACCTAAATTAACCTAACCTAACTTTTTCGGCTACCTAACATAACCTAACCTATAGAGATAGGTTAGGTTAGGTTAGGTTAGGTTAGTTAGGTTAGGTTAGGTAGGGTCGGTTAGGTTCGGTCATATATCTACGTTAATTTTAACTCCAATAAAAAAAATTGACCTCATACATAATGAAATGGGTAGCTTTATCATTTCATAAGAAAAAAATTAGAGAAAATATATTAATTCAGGAAAACTTGGCTTATTAGGCAAATCGGGCCTTGCATAGTAGGCTGAGAAGTGCGTTCTGGCTACTAAGTACGACATACATATATATATATATATATATATATATATATATATATATATATATATATATATATATATATATATATATATATATATATATATATATATATGTTTCATTGAATATGACCGCATATTCTGTATTTATTATTTTCTGGTTTAGGGCTTCTATCCCTCTAACTATTTTCTTAGCATCAGGGCTTAATTGAAATAGGAGTTCTCAAAAACTCATTTTCGTACTTTAAGGTGAAGAAAAGAAGTGATTTACTATAGAGTGTATTACACTTATTTGTATAATTTGCACGACGTTTCGAACCTCCATGGTTCATTCTCAAGTGAATGATCTGTTCACTTGAGAATGAACCATGGAGGTTCGAAACGTCGTGCAAATTATACAAATAAGTGTAATACACTCTATAGTAAATCACTTCTTTTCTTCACCTTAAAGTACGAAAATGAGTTTTTGAGAACTCCTATTTCAATTAAGCCCTGATGCTAAGAAAATAGTTAGAGGGATAGAAGCCCTAAACCAGAAAATAATAAATACAGAATATGCGGTCATATTCAATGAAACATGTTTGAAAGAAAACCTGCTGCCAGTATACACCAATATATATATATATATATATATATATATATATATATATATATATATATATATATATATATATATATATATATATATATATATATATATATATATATATATATATATATATATATATATATATATATTATTATCTATATGACCGAAAAAGTAAGTTTAATAATTCTAACACGAATTCAAAGATCAATTCTCCAAAATTCATTTTTATTTCTAGTCTGACGCGACACTTGAGCGCGTTTCGTAAAACTTATTACATTTTCAAAGACTTTAGTTTACAAACACACAACTGAAACTGAATAGAGCTTTACACATCTTCGAGGTTTATATCTACATTTGGGTGAGGTGGATGAGGTGAAAAACGAACTTTCAACAATGGGTATTAAATTCCAACACAAGACAGAACACGAAACAATGGGTATTGAATGGGTATTAAATTCAAACAAAAGACAGAACACGAAACAATGGGTATTGAATGGAAGTAATTGTAGAAAGCCTATTGGTCCATATTTCTTGATGCTACTATATTGGAGCGGAGTCTTGAAGTGGGTAGAATATAGTTGTGCATTAATTGGCTGTTGATTGCTGGTGTTGACTTCTTGATATGTAGTGCCTCGCAGACGTCAAGCCGCCTGCTATCGCTGTATCTATCGATGATTTCTGTGTTGTTTGCTAAGATTTCTTAGCAAACATCTTAGCAATCTAAATATAAAATAAAAATAGAAATCTTAGCAAACAACACAGAAATCATCGATATATCAGAAACACTATAAACACACACACACACACACACACACACACACACACACACACACACACACACACAGCCTTCGTCCTCTTTGTTTTAATAAACTTCATCAAAAATATTAAAAAATATTTTGAACATCTGAATATGTTCAATGAGTTCAATAAAAA